GAAGGATAATGATAGGAGGAGAGAGCAGAGCGATAGAGAGATGAGCTCATCAGTCCACTGCTTCTCCTTTATCTCCTTTTCCGCAGGCTGGGGGAGGTAAAAAACCTGTATATATTGCTGCAAAAGAGAAAAATCAGGTCTTTTGCCTTTTCAGACAGAGCTGTGCTGTGTGGCTGTCTGTAAAAAAAGATGGACAGACGTGCACGGGGCGGACTGACCATTCGAGCACTCGGGCACTGCCTGAGGGCCCGGGGTCAATAGGGGGCCCCATGAATTGCCCCTGGTACCTTTTCTAGGCTTTTTTGGGTGTGCTTTGAGTGTGGGCAAGGACACAGGGGCCCAATGATCCCCTATTGCCCGGGGGCCCCATGAATTGTGAGTCCGCCCCTGGACATGCAAATCCTTTGGGTAGTAAAACAGGTCCCATATATGTAATTCATCTGTATATATAGCTGTCTGCCAGGAATTCAGCAAGTGTGCAAATAAAAAGTTACGACTGTTTTATTATGGCTACGTGATAGTTTACGGTTTTGGGGTTGTATTCGAGATGTGCAAAGAGAGATCACACATTTGTAGGTATAATATTTAATTAAATAATGACAGATGCAGATAACAAATGTAATATTAGAAAATATAACAAGAATGCTTAACGAAAGATGCCTTTTCCACCACGGAGCTCACTTGTGTGGTGTGGCACACATAATCAGACCAGACGCATGCATGATGCAACTTTAGAGATAAGACTGAACATTCCAAGTTCTAGCTGTAGGTTATAGGACTCGTGTGTAAGAAAATGGCCAATCCCTACTGCAAGCAGCATGACCTTTTAAGGACTTGGTAAGTTTGTAATGACATTCCTATGGTATGAAGTCAGCTAAGGTAACCAAGATATCAGATGCTTTCTTAGATATTGAGGCTTGGTTCACATATATGTATTTTGCATTTGATGCTTTCTCCAGTACTTTTTTGCAGTTTTTTTGCATTTTTCTATGCGTGTTATGACACGTTTTTGATGCTTTTTTAATAAAATAATAAAAAAATTGGTGCAGCGCTAAACAAATATCATTATATAAATGAACATAACCCTAAAACTAATAAATAAATACATATATATATATAAATACATGCATGCAAGGATGAACCCCTTTCAATCCCCAGTGGGGGGAAACGTGACCATGTATATAAGATGGTTACTATACACATGCAAAGGGACAACACACTGCAGCAGGTGATAAAAAGTGAATAAATGCAGTCCACTCCAAACAAAAATGGTGATTCTTCAGAACGTGAGAGTGCCAATAGTGCCACAATCCTACAATGGTCTGAGTGCCTCCTCACCTCCCCGCATCGACCACAAGGGCCAATACGCCTTGATAATATATAGGGTGTAACCCTCAGATGTCAGCCGGTCACAGATCCACAGTAGATTCCACCTCATGTACTGTATTCCAAAAACCACCTCCAGCCGCTGTTAATGGTGGTATTAGTGATGAAGTCACGTGTACCCGTGACGCAACGCGTTGGCACGCCCTGACGACACTTCCGGTATGCGGTGACGTCACTTCCGACGTACGCGCCATATTGGGACTCCAGGTACACCCGCAGTACCAGGACTACATGAGGACTTGTGATATGCTTTTTTATCTTATGTGGAAATGTGAGTAGGAACTCTGTATCTATGCTTTACAATTAAAATTACAGTATTACGCTATGGGAGATTCTGTTTTGTGTTTCTGAGCATCGCCTGGTGGCTTATTACCACCATTAACAGCGGCTGGAGGTGGTTTTTGGAATACAGTACATGAGGTGGAATCTACTGTGGATCTGTGACCGGCTGACATCTGAGGGTTACACCCTATATATTATCAAGGCGTATTGGCCCTTGTGGTCGATGCGGGGAGGTGAGGAGGCACTCAGACCATTGTAGGATTGTGGCACTATTGGCACTCTCACGTTCTGAAGAATCACCATTTTTGTTTGGAGTGGACTGCATTTATTCACTTTTTATCACCTGCTGCAGTGTGTTGTCCCTTTGCATGTGTATAGTAACCATCTTATATACATGGTCACGTTTCCCCCCACTGGGGATTGAAAGGGGTTCATCCTTGCATGCATGTATTTATATATATATATGTATTTATTTATTAGTTTTAGGGTTATGTTCATTTATATAATGATATTTGTTTAGCGCTGCACCAATTTTTTATTATTTTTTCATACACTTTTGGTCAAAGAGGGTGCTGGCTGCTTAGTTAGTCTTCATTCATCTGAAGCGCAGGAGGTTTTATCACATATTTTTGATGCTTTTTTACCGTGCTTTGCATTTTGTTCAGCTGTTTTTTTTTTAAAGTGGAATTTTTTTTGTTGTTGGCCAGAATAAAAATACAAAACGCGGCAAAAACGCACTACCATGCATTTCAGCAGATTCACCATTGACCTCTATTGTAGCAAAAACGCTGCTTTTTGCTTTTAAAAAAGTCCCTGACCCTTTCCAAAAGCTCAGCAGCTGAAAAAATCAGGTGAACATGTTCCATAGGAAACCATATTAAATGGACTATAGTGTGTTTCTGCAAAAAGTACTAAAAAAAAGCATTTTTTTTGTGAATGAAGCCTTAATAAGAAAATATGAAATTTCCCCATAAATTACTTTTCTCTAACTTGCCTGGTCATGCTTTTTGAGAACCTGTGAACCAGTCAGAACATATTGAAGGAATTGGGTCAGTTTGCAAGCCAAGCAGCTAGCATTCTAAAAAGGCAGTAATATTTTACTTTAATAATTACATACAGAAATGTTTATGGTGGTTATGGTGGCCCAATCCTGTTGATTTCTATTGCACACGTATGTTCTTTAACTTTTTGTCTCTTACCACTTCAAGGTTCATATTATCTTCTTCAATATAATTCTTTCACCATTTTTGTATCAAACTTTAAAAAAGAAAATTGCATACACATCCATCCACTACCTTAGACCGATCAGCCATAACTCTAAGACCACAGAAAGTTAGGTGAATAACATTGATCATCTTGTTACATTGGCATCTGAAAGTTGGTGGGATATATTAGGCAGTAAGCTGTCCCTGATGCTAAAGCAATGAAAGGAGAAAAAATTGGTATTGCAGTTTGTTAAGTATGGAGCTGCATGGTCACAAACCATTCAGGGTGCCCATGCAAATTTGTGTCCACAACCAAAAATGCCTACAGTGAGCACATGGGCACCATAACTGAACCACAGAGCAATGGAAGAAGGTGGTTTGGTCTGATGATTCACGTTTCCTTTTATATCATGTGGATGACTGGGTGCATGCATGTAGCTTACGTGGGGAAGGGATTGCAGCAGAATGCAGTATGGGAAAGTAAGCCATCAGAGGCAGTGTAATACTTTGGGCAATGCTCTGCAGGGAAACCTTGGTCCTGCCATTCATGTGGTTGTTACTTGGCATGTACCACCTACCTAAACATTGTTGCTGACCAAGTACACCCCTTCATGGAAATTATATTCTTTGATGGAAGTGACCTCTTTCAGCAGGATAATGTGCTTTGCCACACTGCAAAAATGGTTCAAGAATGGCTTGAGGAACACAACAAGTTATAGGTGTTTTCTTAGCTTCCCAGTTCTCCAGATCTCAGTCTGATTGAGCATCTATGGGATGTGCTGGAAAAAAGATTGTGATCCATGGAAAACCCAACTCACAACTTACAGGACTTAAAGTGACATTAAAGCTTCCTTTTTTTAAAATGAAAATAACAAACATATTATACTTACCTGCTCTGTGCAGTGGTTTTGTACAGAGCAGCCCCAATCCTCTTCTTCTGGGGTCCCTCTCTGATGCTCCTGGCTCCTTTTTTGCTGGTGCCCCCATGTAAAGCCACTTTCCATGGGGGCACCCATGTGGGCTCGCTCCCAAGCTGTCATGTCCATAGGCACAGAGCGGACGGCCCGGCTCCACCGCTTGCTCGCCACAGCATTTGACTGACAGCAGCGGGAGCCAAAGGCTCCCACTGCTAGTAATCTACCCAGTGAGGAGGGAGACAGCGTCCAAAGCTACTGCTCTCTTGCACATCACTGGATCATATGGGGCTCAGGTGGGGGGGGGGGGGGCTGGGGGGAATCCTGCAGCACAGAAGGTTTTTCACCTTAATACATAGAATGCATTAAGGTGAAACCTTAAGACTTTAGAACTATTTTATAGTATCTGCTACTGACAACTTGGCGGCAGATACTACAGCATACTTTCAGAGATCTAGTGGTGTCCATGCCTCGACAGGTCAGGGATGTGTTGGTGGCAAAAGGTCCTTTTGTTCCTGATGTCTGGCAAGTACTAGGTATGCATGAGAACCTAATGCTGGGTGCCACTCTTTTAAAGTCACCTTAGACTCTTTACATACAAGCCCATGAGCTGCATATCTAGAACTCTGGTACTCTCCTCGGTTTAGAGATGAAGCTCCCTGTCTTTTGTGAATAGAGCCTGAAATTCCCCTCATACTGGCAAACAGCTTAGTTGTTGAAATTACTCTTCCGATATGCTGACATTTAACACTGAAACTATAGATAAGGACTAAAATACTTCTGCCTCAAAACCACATGACAAGAAAAAAAACCAATCTGTTATAGAACAGTGGAACAGAATAGAATTGTGTATATGGTTTTCTGCAACTGTTTGGAAAATAGCCAATTTTTGTATCTTTTGTTGTACTAGCTCAAAGATCACTCTTGCATTCCTAGCATCATTTTGCTATAGTTATTCTGGATGAGAATGGAGCCGTACTGAACCTAAATCTCTTCATCTGTCTTGTCTGCTCCATTCATTAGAAAACCCAACTGCCTGCTCTTATCACAGGCTAATTGCACTTTATGTTAATCCCAACTTTGGCTGCAACACATGTGATGTTCTAAAATCCACCATTTTTTCCAGCAAAGTAGTCTTTGTAATCCTGTTTAAATATTGGTCATCTGTGCTTATGTGCTCAATGATAAACATATTTTTCGATTTTGTCAACAGAGTATTATGTGCACAGGAACACTGAAATGGTACCCCGATCCTGCCATATTACACTGTATTCCATCTTGTGAGGTAAGACCACCATAGCTACTGATTGACAATGTTTTAACTGTAATTTTGCATGTATGTGCATGCCAGTTTTACATATTTGGCAGTGACATGGTGCTGATGTCCTTTAATTACAACACTGGCCAAACAGAATATGAAATTCTTTGCTAGATAAGCCAATTCATATACACTGATCAGCCATAACTGTATGACCACACCTAGTATTGAGTAGGTTCCATTTTGCTGCCAAAACAGCTTTGACCTATTGAAACATGGACATGACTAGACCTCTGAAGGTAAGCTATGTAAGCTATGGAAGGTAAGCTGCCAGTAGGAAATCCTTTAAAAGAGAATGGTTTTTGTTTTTTAAAAAAATAAACATTTATACTCAGGACCCTGCATTCACTATATCTGGTCTCCCACAGTACACAGAACATGGAAGTGCAATTATTTTAGTAAGTATAAACTGCTAAATACCTTTTCTCATCAGCAGTTAGAGCAGTCTTGTGACTTCAGCAGAACACTGGTTAAAGCTTGTAGGAGGAGTTTTCTTTCTGCTCTAGGAGGATGTTAAAGTCCTGACCCTCTGTTTGGACAGTGCTGATTGGCCCTGTGCTGATCACATGCACTCTCCCAAGAGAAAACAAAACTCTCTAGTAATACACAACAAACTGAGCATGTGAATGTGACTATGGATTCAGTCTATATCAGGTGGACATTTCAACAAGAGGAGGGGCAGAGTAGAAAAGATCAAATAGCCTTTTTACACAATGCAGAGTATTAACTCCTTAAGTTCCACAGTGAGTATAACAAGCATGCTTTACTGCATATACAGACTGATTTTACTGTTGCAGGTTGAATAACACTTTAATTGTAAAAGAGTTGAGTTTACATGGAAATAGTGTTGGTCAAAAGGAACAACTGAAAATGCCACGGAGGCTCAGCAGCATACATGGGCATTGCCTAAGGCAGTCTGCATGCAAATGCAGCCTACATAGGAACACCCACTCTCCTAGACTGATATCCGCTCATCACACCATTTTGACACCTGCATAACTCCTCCCAAGAGCCAGCCTACTGCTTTCATCAGAGCTGAGGTTTCTTGAGAGAAGTGCTGAGGCACAGTGTTGTCATGTTTTCCTCTCACCAGTTATGAACTGCCTGCATTGGATAGAGAGGGACAAAAAATAGTTGTGGGTTTAGTAACACTTTAAAGACTTCTGATCACTCAGTTCGTCTTCAGTGAGCAGAGAGGGGGTGGGAACAGCTGGCAGGGTGGATCCTTACTGGGTGGATCTCCACTGTGGAGGGGGCGGAAGTGGCATCTGAATGGATCCTGACTGTAAAGTCAGGATATTTCCTGAGCCTGGAATGGCTGAAAAATGTCAGCCAACAGAATGAACTTTACTTCTGTGATCCCCAGAAGAATAGCCAGAATAGCTTTGGCAATACTTCTCCTTCAAGTCTTGTAAGTTGTCAGATGGGGCCTTCATGAATCGGACTTGTTTTTCCAAAATCCCACAGATGTTCTATTAGATTGAGATCTGGAGAATTTGGAGGCCAAGTCAAGACCTCAGACTTGTTGTGTTTCTCAAACCGTTCTTGAACCATTTTTGCAGTGTGGCAGGATGTATTATCTTGCTGAAAGAGGCCACTGCCATCAGGAAATATCATTTCCATGAAGGAGTGTACTTGGTCAGCAACAATGTTTGGATAGGTGGTACATGGCAAAGTGACATCCACATCGGAAAGATCCAAGGTTTCCCAGCAGAATATTGCCCAAAGTATCACACTGCCTCCACCAGCTTGTCTTCTTCCCATAGTGCATCCTTTTGTCATCTCTTCCCCAGATAAGGGATGTACATGCACTCGGCCATCCATGTGATGTAAAAGAAAAGGTGATTCATCAGACCAGGCCACCTTTTTCCATTGATCTGTTGTCCAATTCTGAAGCGACGTGCCCAGTGTGGGTGCTTTTGGCTGTGTACACGGGTCAACATGGGCACCTGACCGGTCCCCATACACAAAAAACTGCAATGCCCATCTTTTCTGCTTTGAACACATTAACTTTAGGGATATCATGTTTACTTGCTGTCTAATATATCCCACTGACTTTCAGATGCCATTGTAACGTGATAAGTTATTCACTTAAAGGAAAAGTGTTGGATATGAAAAAACAAACATACATACTCACCTATATGGCTGCAGCATCAGTCTGATGCTGCAGCTGTTCCTCGCTGGCTCTAGGACTGAAAACTGAGCAATCACATGACCACTAATTGCTCACTGAGCAGAGAGCCAGTGAATGTCAGTCACTGGCTCTCTGCTCTGCCCCTCCAATGCTCACTGGAGTTCTGGGCTGTAGAGGAGGTGAGAGTGTCTGGCTCAGGCTCTGAACGGTGAACTGAGAGGCTGAGCCAGCTGCTGGTCCATTGTAGCTCATTTCATCTGAATCTGAGTCAAAAGAATGCAGTAATAAGTGCGCTCCTGTGACCCAGAAGAGAAGCGTGACCAATAAACCTTTGATTATGCTTCTCTTTTAACCTGTCAGTGGTCATAAAGTCTTGGCCAAACAGTATATATTGATTCCAATAGTATATTTATCTGTTAGCTCTGTGGTCTTCTTTAAAACACTTCATATATCTACTGTAACCACTACAAATACTTTAAGGTGTTGTAATGAGAGTTCTATTCATGACAGCCAGATACACAGTAGATGTACTGTATGTTGCCTACTCTCTAGAAGTCTTCCAAAGATGGCAATTGCTATATATCATGGATGCAGTCAAATATGTAAGAACTTGCATGTTTTGAGCTGACAATAATTAAAATTCTGTACACTTTTTTATGCCAGTGGAACAGGAAAATAACTGCTTGTAAAATCCATATATTTTCTCAGTTCACTGTAAGCTGACATGTGTCCTATCTGACTTCTAGAGTGTATTTCTTTTTAATATTTTCATGCTGGATTTATGTTTTGTTAATTCTGGCAAAATGAGATCACCACAAAGCCTTTGTTTTTCTCTGCTCTTGAAGCTGCTGAACACGAAAAAATCCTCTGTGCTGACAAAGACGAGACTTTCTGGCAGTGGTACAGCTTTCAAAGTACGGAGCCATATGTCAGCTGAACTGACGGCTTTATAAGCACATGTTCTGGGATTTACTAAGTGTCAATGACTTCGGTGGCAATTTATTTCCAAATCAGGGTGTGATATCTCTCATTAGTGCCTGGTGAATCTGCTCCGCAGAGAGTGATTTACTTCTGCAAAAAGATCGAATGATCTTTGAAGAAGAAATTAAACACAGTCTTCTTTTTACTAGTGAAATTTCACAATATTTTAAAGGAATATAAATTCTGTTGAAATAGGACCCCTTATGTGAGATTTTTGGTATGGAGAATTGTTTGAGTTTGACTGGTGCGGTATATTACTTGCTTTATGTTTAATTTTTTTGTGGAAATGTGAGACCCATTAAAATATTTTAAGTGGTAATTACGAAGCTTTATGTCTTGCTCATCTTCCCTTCAACTATGTTCGAAATGCCAGGCAGTAATTGTGGTGGGCTTAGGGCATGCAGTGGGACTTGGGGTGCCCACAACTGTCCAGGACACATCATTATTTATGGGTTCTGAGGAAACATTTTAGAAACTGCTAAAAGCAGGCAAGTCAAGAGGCAACTTCCTGCAAAGTGGGGATTAGCCTTCTGTATTTTAAGTGGCACAGTTAAATGCTAAGGCAACATATTTACATTATGGGTTAATACATTTCCCAACATCAGGTGTACATTTTTATATTGCCCTAAACATAACATATGTCATCTTGGATGTTTTGGCTGCAACAATATGGAGGGCTCTATTTAAAAAGCAGTGGTCTTGCCTTACTGAGGCCGTACTACTGTTTTTAAAAAAGGTTACATATATAATTCATAATCTTTGCTCTCTCAGGAAAAAACAACAGGTTTGCTTTAATCCCCCACCTCTCCCCAGTATTTACTTACCTTTATTTCATTCTCCCACCAAGCACTGGGAGCCATAGGGATTACCCAATAGTTCTGGATATAAAGAATCTTGTGACTTAATCAATGTTACATCACTGGAATAATCATTCCATTGCCCTGTTTAACCAACCACCTCCCGCCCGCCATATAGTCCAATGATGGGCGCGAGGTGGTTCTCTCATTCTGAGAGGACGTCATATGACGTCCTCCCATTCTCACCACGCATGCGCGGCTCAGGGAGTGCGCAGCCCGGCGATCGGCGGTGTGCTGTGTCCCTCAGACACAGCGGATCACTGATCACGAAAAGAGCCGAAGATGTCGGCTCGGTGTTGTGATCAGCTGTGTCCAATCACAGCTGATCACATGTAAACACGGAAATGCCAGTTATCGGCATTTCTCTCCTCTCGAGCTGTCACGCTGACAGAGGAGAGGAGAGCCGGTAATCGGCTTTCCGCGGAGGGGACATGTACACTGATCATCAGGGCACTGATAATCAGTGTGCCCTGATGATCAGTGTAGCCCCAGCAGTGCCACCTGTCAAAGTCCATCAGTGCCAGCTATCAGTGCCACGTGCCAGTGCCTATCAGTGCCACATCAATGCCACATATCAGTGCATACCAGTGCACATCAATGCCACATATCAATGCCCATCTGAGCTGCCTTTCAGTGTCATCCATCAGTGCCACCTATCAGTGCCAGTCAGTGACGCCTATCAGTGCCAGTCAGTGCCGCCTATCAGTGTGCATCAGTGCCGCCTAATAGTGCCATATATCAGTGTCATATATCAGTGCTGCCTTTCAGTGCCCATCAGTGATGCCTGTCAATGCCCATCAGTGCCACCTACCAGTGCCTCCTCATTAGTGTCCATCAATGCCACCTATCAGTGTCCATCAGTGCAGCCTATCAGTGCCCATCACTGCAGCCTCATTAGCGCACATCAGTGAAGGAGAAAAATCACTTATTTACAACATTTTATAACAAAACTAAGAAAAAATGTTTTTTTTTCAAACTTTTCAGTGGTTTTTCGT